CAAAATTCAGCCATGTTTTAACAATTATGTTTGAATGTAATGAGTATGTATGTAGTTGTTTATTATGTGAATGCCGATGTTAAGTAACAGGATGTTAACCTTTCAACACAAACATTGGTGAAAGCAGGTGACAATGTTAGGAGGCCTCTAACATGAAAATATACTTACAGTTACAATATCAACTTCATTGTCTTTCCTCTGTTTGGCTACATACTGCTCTCTGTAATATAACAAACATTTCTTTTATTTACATACAGACCAACACAAATAGCATAATTGAAACATGAAACATTTTTATTTGTAACCTTTACCATGCTTGAACAGATGAGCCTTTGCCACCAGTATAGACATGTGCTAGTCATAGCTAGTCTACATGTGTGCAGTCTCACCAGCCTCTGTATTGTTGCCTGCTGAATTTTCGTACTTTGATAATGAAATCACTTATATTTTGATTGGACCTTTACAAATTCAAAGCAGGGCAAATGAAATCATATACTGAGAAAGATAAGAGTTAAAAAAAAAAAAGATCTACGAAATGGTAAACTAACTTATCCAACAGACAAAATGGTAAACTAACTTATCCAACAGAGAAATACGCTACAAAACATTTTAACTTAATTTTTGTATGTTGACATTATGAGACATTATATCCTGTTGACAAAAGAAAACACAAGTAAAGTTTGATTTTGTTTAGATATGTTTGGAGACATTCTGACATAAAGGTTGACAATGTAAGATCTCGCAAAGATCTTGTAAAAAACACCTTACAGCGTCACTTATGTCTCCATCTAACATTACCATTAATATATTCAAACACTGCCTTTAGCTCAACAAATTTTAGTGGTTTATTTTTTTTAAATTTTTTTTTTACAAAATATGACATTTTACTCATAAACATCATACTATTATGACCATTTGCCATTAAGTAAGTATAAATATATCTAAATGTTGTCTGTATTGATAATTCAGGGAAATTCAACAGATTGTACTAGGATAATAACCATTATGCAGACTTCCCCTTTTTCCATCTTCATTAAATGCATATAACCTTCAAATTAAAGGTCAGTTTGACTGTGTAAAATTTGTAACAACTGGTCTATGAGGAAAACTAGGAAAATGTACTTTCAGCCTTGCTGACTTTGGCCTTGCAGCTATTGACCATTAACTTCACTTCAGGCAAAGGTCAATGGAAGGAACCAAAGTATAAATATCTTAGATATCAATCAGATAATAAAGATGCTATGAGAAGCAGCAAGTGTGTTTGTTTTTAACACTGACTTTTGCACATTTTTGGTCATATTTCTGTGGTTGGTCCATCTAACCAGCTTTTTTGGACAACTTATCCGTAACTCCCAATTTCTCCCTAAATGACTGACTACTAATCCAACAAGATTTTGAATCAGCAGGGTATTAGGCTCAATGTCTGAGATCATTTGTCATGGAGAAATTAGCCCGAGCATCAAACCTGTGACCCTTTGATCCTAAGGTCTGACCTAATTGAACTAAGAAGGTGGAAATAGCAATTAAGTGTAACTGATGGTCAGACAGGAACAACAGCATGCAGTTAGGACAAAAAGGCAATTGTGTGAAATGTTCCATCAAAACATTTCTACGAGCATAATAAAAGATTAAACATATACATTCTTATAATGGTTTTTGAAATCTCTCTTAATTATAAAAGCTTCTTTTGGGAACATGTGGATTTTTGATGACAGACATTGTTTTGATATTTTTATGAGAGCTACTATTAGTATTGTACAATCTGATAAGGTAACTGATTGCTTTATTATGTGAAGGCTAATAAACAAGGAAGATAGTGATAATGGCTGCCCATTTAGCAATCAATTAGTATATTATACCCAACATCAACATCTATAACACGACAGGTGTTCATTAAACTTTACTAAATGTTCAATACTTCAGATAAACAACATGATTTCTTTATTTTTGTTTTAACAAAGCTCAAAGGAGATGTAACAATTTTCTTTTTACTTCTTTGCATTTTCTTTCTGTTGAAATGTGATATTTAAAGAGATTTATTATAAGACTTTCTTTTCCCCCAGGTTATAGACAGTCAATAGAAAGTGATATTAACTTGATGATATTGTTCAAATTTAAATACATCATAACATCATAAAGAGTGGCTCTAAATTTAAACGTATATTATTAGAAGCCAATCGGTAATGGCTTAACAGCTATTATTAAGTACATGTATATAAAATACTACTTGACTAATCAAAATGTTATGTTAAAAATACAAATGTACATCACCAAATCAAACAGCATTCTTTCTCTCAAAAATACATTGATAACTCAAATCACATTTTTCTTATGAAAATATGAACATTTATCCACTTTAAAATGGAACTGAAAGCCAAAAAGAAATCCCTACTCTGCACATTCCATCCGCTTATTTAGGACTTGTTTGCAAGAATAAGGAAATTGCCGCGGACAACTTTGAAAATCTATCAAATGAAGAATTTTAATTTGATCATATAAAACAGTTACTGTATGAAGACTTTGGTGAATATCAAAGTCTATGAACCTTGCTAATGTGATATTCACCTCAGTGGTTTCTAGTGCTTTTAATATGAAATTTTAGTTAATATTAAATAATAAGTTTTAAATTAAATAGTTTAATAATTAGTTTTAAATTAAGTTAAATTAAACGAAGCTAAACACAATAAGGTGTTTCCAGACAACTCCTGGATTTGTGTTTGTTTTATTAATATGAGTCAGTTCAAAATAATGTTACAAAACTTAAACCACAAATTGTACCATAAATAAATTTATCACCATTTTATCTTTCTTATTCTGTCAAAATATCTTATGAACGAAAAAAAAAATAAAAAAAAATAATGAAATTATTTGATCATTTCAAGATAGGATGAATATCAATCTTTTATTTATTGATATATGGACAAATTTTAAAAGGTAAAAGGTCAGTTTTTATGCTTATTTATACATATTTGAAATCTATTTGCAATGTCTTCAATAATCAAAACCACTGTGAAAGAAAACAGTTTGCTATCTTGTTTGGTGAAGGGTTAATCTTGTTTGTACAAATCAGAAACTAGGTAATTTCTAAAGGTCTATAGTCTCTTTTAAAGGGCCATTAAGCCTTAAAAATTCTATTGATTTTATTTCTCAAAATCTGTTCTTTTTTGCTGCCCTATTACTAATTAGCCATATAGCTTAGCCTTCTTTGCTGTTTTTGCAATTTGTTTAATTATAGTTATTCAGAATTTTGTAAGGAAGTCAAAATATCATTTTGTTTACATCTTGCTCCCTTTATAACAATAATACCACATTTAGTGCTAGTTAACTTTAGATTATAGCATCTCAAAATCCATAGAACACAATCATGTTTGCCTTTTTTACAGAACAATAAATTTATTAATTTCTGGCATCAATGTGCCCTCAATCGCTATCTTTGCAGTAAAATTATTGAAGGGCAAAGGTCTTCAGCTAGTAGTCTCTCCATAACTCGAGGTGGCACGAACACAGGTATGACTGTATGTATCCACTACAGTAAAAGATTTTTTTTTTTTAGTAGAACATGTCAACTGTGAAGAAAACTTAAAGCAAATATGAAAAACTCTTCAGGCCAACTGCAACAACTTATCATAACTGGTATCCTAGGAGAAAACATGGTTCAAACGCTTCACTAGGACTCAAATCCATGATTCCAGTGTAAGGAGACACACAGAATAAGACCAATATGTCCTCTTCTGTTTATATACTAGTATAACAAACATTATTTACTAGTATAACAGAGTCTTATTCTAAAGGCTTTCAGACAACTCTTATCTTAGGTGGGCCTTCTGACTGTCATACACTTAAATAAAAATATGTGTTTGAAATTAATATTTTAGTATTTACATTTTGCTTTTATTACAGGTTTATTTTCTCTCCCACTCAGGCATGCTACAATTTTATAAAGTTAATATCTTTATACGAATTAAAAAAAGAGTAGTACAGTACTAAATTATTCAAATATAATGTGACTTGTCACAAGTATGAATAAAACCAAACAATAATTAGCTCAAAACAGAATTTTTCAACATTAAATGTCACCAGAAAATGTCTTCATTATCAAAATATTTGCATTCTCAAATTAAATACTTTTATTCATTATCTTTATAAAGTATTAGAGAAGATTATCTTGCATAAATTTTAGGTAGCATAAGATGCCACAAAATGTATGAACAGAGATGTCTAGCATCAGGGGAAGTATTACTTCCTAGCTGATATTATATGGAAGAAATACAGAATAACTTCTCATGTTATCATGTGTTGATGGCATAATGAAAGAATGGTTTCAAAGTGTAAGTTCATGACAGAATGGTTTCATGACTTCATTGGCACATGATAATGATATCATGGCATCATAAGGGTGTGATAGCTAGGTAACTTGACCTTGAATATTTCAATAAATTAATAATAGCAACATGGATTTGTGGCATTATGACAGCATATTTACATTTATATTTTAGCATAGTGTTATAAGTCAGTATGGTAGCAAGAGGTTACATAAAAATTATTCAAACTATGTTACAGTAACGTTTCCATTAGTTTGTCAACGAAACAAAGGCAATTGGTTCTCTTCATTCTTCCTGACTAAATTAACCCTTCATCTGCTATATTCTTAAATGGACTTATCAAGTTCATATTTGGAACTGTCCAATTTGAATTTAAGGGACATGAAATTGAAAATTTGAAGTTGGTCAGCACACAGTTATAGAGCCTGGTCAGACGGCATGCACACATGCACGCTGGCGTGGTTCTATACTGGTGGCAAAGACTAACTAATATGGCCATGATTTGGGTCGAGCAGGGTAAGGGTTGTCATAAGAACTTTAAAATGGACTATCAATATATATATATAATAACACAAGGATTTTATAGTAAAATTAGAATTATTAAATCATAATCTCATAATTTATGATTACTTTGAATCAGTTTAACTATACCTACTTGTAGTGTTGAAGACAACAAATGCAACAGTAAAATATAAACAACAATTTCAAAATTCATAGGGAAAAATCATGTTAACAATGATCTCAAATGTTATTGAAAAATGTTCTATAAACAATCATGTCATACATATTGGTCATTCCAATGCAACCATTGTGATACCCACCAACAAGTATTCACATTTTTGAGATGTTCAATCATATCAAATAGTCAAAAGCTTTAATTGTGCTCCAACAGCCACACATATAAATTTTTGAATAGTCATTTCAAAAACATACTTTACAATAATTAAAGCTGGAAATGTTCTTCATACACGTACTTTAAATAATTTAAGCTGAGAAATGTTCTAATATTACATGTATGTTTTTAAAACACAAATGGCTAGATACCAAATGTGTCTATAAATGATTCAGTAACAGAATTAGAAATTTAAACTTGAAAATTAATGTCATTTAGGGGTCAATGCCATAATTCAATCTATAGGTTAAAACAGATTTCTATTCCAAGGTTTTTAAGTTTTGTCCAACCATAAAGACTCTGTAGCATATAAAATAAAGTTGTTACAGCCAAGGTCTTGCCTGCAGAAATGAACAGACAGAATAAAAGAAATCATGTCCTTGAGCTAAAATATGGGTATAATAAGATTTTTTTTTTCTCAATGAAAGTTGAAAAATTTAATACTTACTAAAAGTGTTTATAAATCCATTTGAATGTCTTTTGTATTTAATCCACTTAGTTCACTAGCATATAAAATTCCATGTGTAGTATGAATTTTTTATCCTTCTTTTACACTTTTCTGCAAAAGAAAAAAAAATAGAATTTACAAAATAATACTGATTGCATTACAATTGATATGAGTAAGATACTGATAAAAAAGGACATTGACCTTCAGGAATGACCCTGGCCTTGAGCTGAAACGGACATGCCAACCAATCTGTAAATTGTATCTCAACATTAACCCAAGTTTCTCGAATTACTTCAAATGTATTATATGAGATACAGAGTTATGCACAAACATTTGACCCTTCAGGTGCAACCTTGACCTTGATCTAGTGCTGCATCATGTATCCAGCAAAATGCTTCAATATGGTTAACATTTGTTTCATGAAAACATTTTAAGTGTTTAAGGAGACATAGGGGGGGGGGGGGGACACAAACATTAGACTTGAAAAACACTGACACTGAGAGTGACATGGTGAAAGCTCCAAAATAGAAGCTAAAATATAAACTAAATGATTTATAAAACTGTAAAACAAATATAACAATTTAATCAAACCTGGTTTGTTGTTTTTTTTTATTAAAAACTTGGCATTGGCAATCAAACATGCATATATCATTAAAACAACCACTATATCAACAGATCCATGTTTTATGATTTGTTTACTTTATTTTAAATGCATACACTTAAAACATGATCAAACTTTTATGGTAGCTGATTTGAGCTGTGTACAACTCCTATATTTGCATTGTTGCCCCCACTCTATCCCCCTTAATTACCCGTAATGATAAAACAATGTATGATGGTGCAATCCACTATAAATAGTTACAACAGTCAGACCTGTGAATTAAAATATGTATACAGACCAAAGTCAAAATTAATATATGATATAAGCAGAAATTCAACAGCCCAATTCCAAAAATACTTATCAGCAATAAAAAGAAATGTGCTACTGTCTTTACATTAATTGAGAGAAATAAGCAATACAAGTTTATTTGCATTAAGAAACACCATGTCTCCAAAAGCCACTGATTCATCTCTCAATGAACTAGCATATCCAAAGCAAAACAAGTTATTCATTTCTTCAAATGCTAAAACAAAACTACACCTTAACTTAACAATAGCTGTCGATAGGACAGCAACGCTCGACTATTCTTAGAGCTTGATAGTAAAAAAATGCTTGATACAGTTACCTCCTCCTGTTTACAGGTTGGGGTAATGATGGTAAACAAGTGTGCAAATTTTCAAAGCCATATGTCAATGAACTTTGAAAATATTTTAGGTATTACAAAAACTTTAACATAAATTCTAAGTCGAAAAAGGGGCATAATTCTGTCAAAATGCTTGATAGAGTTACCTCCTCCTGTCTACAAGTTGGGGTAATGATGGTGAACAAGTGTGCAAAGTTTCAAAGCCATATGTCAATGGACTTGGAAAATATTTAAGGTATTGTAAAAACTTTAACATAAATTCTAAGTCGAAAAAGGGGCATAATTCTGTCAAAATGCTTGATAGAGTTACCTCCTCCTGTCTACAGGTTGGGGTCATGATGGTGAACAAGTGTGCAAAGTTTCAAAGCCATATGTCAATGGACTTTGAAAATATTTGAACTATTACAAAAACTTTAACGTAAATTCTAAGTCGAAAAAGGGGCATAATTCTGTCAAAATGCTTGATACAGTTACCTCCTCCTGTTTACAGGTTGGGGTAATGATGGTGAACAAGTGTGCAAAGTTTCAAAGCCATATGTCAATGGACTTTGAAAATATTTGAACTATTACAAAAACTTTAACGTAAATTCTAAGTCGAAAAAGGGGCATAATTCTGTCAAAATGCTTGATACAGTTACCTCCTCCTGTTTACAGGTTGGGGTAATGATGGTGAACAAGTGTGCAAAGTTTCAAAGCCATATGTCAATGGACTTTGAAAATATTTGAACTATTACAAAAACTTTAACGTAAATTCTAAGTCGAAAAAGGGGCATAATTCTGTCAAAATGCTTGATACAGTTACCTCCTCCTGTTTACAGGTTGGGGTAATGATGGTTAACAAGTGTGCAAAGTTTCAAAGCCATATGTCAATGGACTTTGAAAATATTTGAACTATTACAAAAACTTTAACATAAATTCTAAGTCGAAAAAGGGGCATAATTCTGTCAAAATGCTTGATACAGTTACCTCCTCCTGTTTACAGGTTGGGGTCATGATGGTGAACAAGTGTGCAAAGTTTCAAAGCCATATGTCAATGGACTTTGAAAATATTTAAACTATTACAAAAACTTTAACATAAGTGGTTACGCCGACGCCGACGCTGACGCTCGGGGTACTACAATAGCTCTTATTCTTATCGAATAGTCGAGCTAAAAAGAATACCACTGGTTCCAATAACTTCTGAAGATATTTACTTCAATAAAGCTTGAATAACATAATTCTGTAAATATCCAATGTGCAATGAAAATAATCAGTATAGTACATGTACTATTTTCATAATTTGGTCATTACCAGATAAAGAGTGTATTTCAATTTTCTGAAAATACTGATTAAACCCATATTTGAAATGCATGTGACGACATTTCTCAAAGATAAAGTGACATTTAAAAGTATTACCATTTATCAACCTCTCTAGTGATGGTCAAGTACCAGAAGAATGATAGTTAAGATAGCATACAAATGTTACATAAACCTATCTCACCATCCATTTATGTCTGATTAAACATTTAATGTACACGCATGTTATCTTTACAATATAGTTCAACACTTAAAATTTTCACGAAAACTTAAAATGAAACTATGCACTGAGTACAAGGATTTATACCAGATATGATAACCCCATTTAATATGAAAAAACTCTAATAGAGTAACTGTTGGGAGATAGTCAAAGACCCCCAAAAAGCCCTAGCTTCCATCTAAAAATTTTAAAATGAGATAGGACATCAATTTCTCTGCCAATTTGAAAATCCTTTAAACATATTCACCACATTGTCAATTTTGCGAGAGCTTTTGACCAGTAAGGCTTTTGTCATGCACTTTCATGGTCTGATCAGAGACTGTACAGTAGTCCACGGCCTATACATGTACTTGTGGCATGTCTGAACTATACTTGTGGCATATCTGAACTATACTTGTGGCATATCTAAACTAGACTTGTGGCATATCTGAACTATACTTGTGGCATATCTGAACTATACTTGTGGCATATCTGAACTATACTTGTGGCATATCTGAACTATACTTGTGGCATATATGAACCAGACTTGTGGCATATCTGAACCAGACTTGTGGCATATCTGAACTATACTTGTGGCATATCTGAACTAGACTGTGGCATATATGAACTAGACTTGTGGCATATATGAACTATACTTGTGGCATATATGGACTATACTTGTGGCATATCTGAACTATACTTGTGGCATATATGAACTATACTTGTGGCATATATGAACTATACTTGTGGCATATATGAACTAGACTTGTGGCATATCTGAACTAGACTTGTGGCATATCTGAACTATACTTGTGGCATATCTGAACTATACTTGTGGCATATATGAACTATACTTGTGGCATATCTGAACGTTACTTGTGGCATATCTGAACTATACTTGTGGCATATCTGAACGTTACTTGTGGCATATTTGAATTACACTTGTGGCATATCTGAACTATACTTGTGGCATATCTGAACTATATTTCAAATCATTACACCATAAGCCTTCAGAGACTTAAGTTTTCCAAAAAATTTGTACTCATGTTCACATTATAATATAACAAAGAATGTAAGTTTTCAAAAAAATGCACATAATAAAAGATACAATGTATAGTTAAATGGCATGAGATATGATGACATTCTTTCAACCACAATAAATATCCAGGAGACAAGCTATCCCTAATTTGCAATAAAATCATTTATACTTGTGGCTGATTTTTTGGGCAAATCTTGTGGTTCAATAAACATGCATAAAATCAATAATAAAACGATTTTGTTCTACTATAATAGCTTGAAGTTTGAAGTTGATAAGTTTTATTAAACAAGAGCTGTCACAGGAGACAGCGAAGCTCGACTAATAAAATACTGGACGCAGTAAGGACAAAACTATGAAAGAAAAATAAATTATGTATAATTATGTATTAAGTTATAGTAAAAAAATAACATTTGTTAACATAAATTCCAAGATCAAGGGAAATAATTCTAGAAATAGTCATGCTAGAGTTATGGACCTTTACACACAACATTTGTGTAATGATAAGAAATATATATTTGAAGTTTGAAGTAGATACCTTAAAAAGTAAAGAAGTTATTATATTTCTTAAAGAAAATCCTATGTTCAAAGAGAGATAAATCTGTAAATATTACTTCAAGAGTTATGAACATTGTCACATAAAATGTAATTGATGATAAGGAATAAGTATTTGAAGTTTGAGGTAGATACCTTTAAAAATAAAAAAGTTATAGTAAAAAATAACATTTTTCTAGTAAAAAAATCTAAGTTTATGGGGAGATAATTCTTGCAATATTGGTGCTAGAGTTATGAACCTTGTAACATAAGATGTGGATGATGATAAGGTACATATATTTGAAGTATGAAGTTGATCCCTTTAGAAATAAATAAGTAACAGTATAAAATAATATTTTTTATGGAAAATTCTAAGTTCAAGAGGAGATAAATCTGAAAATATTGGTGCTAGAGTTATGAACCTTGTCACATAAGATGAGGATGATGATAACGTAAATATATTTGAAGTATGAGGTTGATCCACTAAGAAATAAAGAAGAAACAGTAAGAAATAGTATTTTTTGAGGAAAATTCTAAGTTCAAGGGGAGATTAATCTGAAAATATTGGTGCTAGAGTTATGAACCTTATCACATAAGATGGGATGATGATAAGGTACATAAATTTGAAGTATGAAGTTGATCCCGTAAGAAATAAAGAAGTAACAGTAAAAAATAGTATTTTTTAAGGAAAATTCTAAATTCAAGGGGAGATAAATTTGCAAATATTGGTGCTAGAGTTATTAACCTTGTCACATAAGATGTGGTTGATGATAAGGAACATATATTTGAAGTTTGAAGTTGA